AAAAACCATTTTAGAACCTGCCCAATATTAATGTATCATTGCCCTTTGGTTTTCCATAAGTAGAAGTCATCTGTGTTCCAAGTGCTACATACTAAATGCTCTTTGTCAGAGTCACATGTTATTCCCCTTTATGTTCTAACAAATGGAGATAATGAATCTGAGTATCCCCCTCAAGCTTTTTAATTTATTTTAAATATCAGATTTTTGCAAATATCTTCTCACATTCAATAGGTTGCCTTTTCATTCTGTTGATGGTTTCCTTTGCTGTGCAAACGCTTTTTATTTTGATGTAGTCCCAGTAGTTTATTTTTGCTTTTGTTTCCCTTGCCTCAGGAGACATATCTAAAAAAAAAATGTTCCCAAGGCTGATGTCAGAGATTACTGCTAATGTTTTCTTCTAGGAGTTTTATATAGTTTCATGGTTTCAGGTCTCACATTTAGGTCTTTGATCCATTTTGAATTTATTTTTGTGTATGGTGTAAGACAGTGGTCCAGTTTCATTCTTTTGCATGTAGCTATCAAGTTTTCCCAGCACCATTTGTTGAAGAGATTGTCTTTTCCCCATTGCATGTTCTTGCCTCCTTTGTCACAGATTAATTACTCCTATAAGTGTGGGTTTATTTCTTTGCTTTCTATTCTGTTTAATTGATCTTTGTGTCTGTTTTTGTGCCAGTACCGTACTGTTTTGATTATTATAGCTTTATACTATATCTTGAAATCTGGGATTGTGATCTAGCTTTGTTCTTCTTTCTCAAGATTGCTTTGGCTATTCAGGTTCTTTTGTGGTTCCAAATCAATTTTAGGATTTTTTGTTCCAGTTCTGTGAAAAATGCTATTGGTATTTTAGTAGGGATTACTTTGAATCTGTAGGTCTCTGTGTAGTATGGGCATTTTAACAATATTTGTTCTTCCAATCCATGAGCATGGAATATCTTTCCATTGGTTTGTGTTGTCTTCAATTTCTTTCATCAGGGTTTTATAGTTTTCAGGGTATAGGTCTTTCACCTCCTTAGTTAAGTTTATTCCTACATATTTTATTCCCTTTGGTGCAATTTTAAGTGGAATTGTTTTAATTTCTCTTTCTGTTACATCATTATCACTGGATAGAAACACAGCCAATTTCTGTGTATTAGTTTTGTATCCTGCAAGTTTATGGAATTCATTTATCAATTCTAATAGTTCTTCAGTGGAGTATTTAAGGTCTTCTACATATCGTACCATGTCATCTGCAAATAGTGACAGTTTTATTTTTTCTTTCCAATTTGGATGCCTTTTATTTCTTTTTCTTGTCTAATTACTACAGCTGGGACTTCCAGTACTATGTTGAATAAAAGCAGTGAGAGTGGACATCCTTGTCTTGTTCCTGATTTTTAGGAAAAGGTCTCAGTTTTTCACTATTGAGTATGATATTAGCTGTGGGTTTTTCATATATGACCTTTATTTTGTTGAAGTATGTTCCCTCTGAACCTAGTTTGTTCTTGCATTTTGTCAAATGCTTTTTCTGCATCTGTTGAGATGATCAAGTGGTTTTTAATCCCTTTGTCTTGTTAATGTGATGTATCACATTGATTGGTTTGTGAATAATGAGCCACTCTTGTATCCCTGGAGTAAATCCCACTATTGTTGAAATAAGTTTTCTTATATTTTGTTGAGGATTTAAGCATCTGTGTTCATCAGAGACATTGGCCTATAGTTTTCCTTTTTTGTAGTGTCTTTATCTGGTTTTGGTATCAGGGTGATACTGAACTTGTACAATGAATTTAGAAGTTTTCTTTCCTCTTCTATTTTTTGGAATAGTTTGAGAAGAATAGGTACCATGTTCTTGACGTCTTAGAGAAAAAAAGTCTTGAATGTTATCTTTAAGTACATTTCTTTAAATTTTGAAATAACTTTTTAAGCTCTCTGTTCTTACTGTTTATTGATATTCATTTGTATTTCCTTAAGATATGCTTAAATGCATGAAATTTTGTTTTCATAATCTTTAATGGTAATTAATATTAAATTATATATAGACATATAAGCTTTATAACGTTTAACATTGAAAGACAAAGACTTTATATGGATTTCTTAGAATACCACTTTAGAAATCAGTTGGCAGTATTAGCAACATCATTATTACATGAATGTATGCTAATGTGGTATGAAAGCAAGATCCTCATTAAAATCTTGTAGCTAAACAAGTAACAAAAACCTTACAAACAGCTTGAGGCTTTAGGCCAGTCACGGTTATTCCAAGAGATTTGGACAAGTGTGAAAATATACAGACTGTGCCTTTATTGTGGTCAGAACACGTAAATGCTATCTTGCATCAGTTCCCTACTGAGAATATTTTTATTCATATTAGGGAAAACGGATCTGAAAATAATGCAGTGTGTAAGCATTCTGTTGTGAATCTATCAATTGTATTGGGTTTATTAAACTTGGAAAGTAGACTTTTGATAATAGCCATTGTGTTTGTGCTCTCCAGGAAAGGAGGGTTTTGATCACCTAGCACATTTTCATTAGGCAAATTCATGATGCTAATGATCTTTCTTCTAGACACTATCTGAGCATGGACTGGTCTGCTGTAGGTCTAGTGAGATTAAAGTTTGGGTGATGCAGAGCAGTCAGCCCATGGTTCGTCACCACTATGGAATATGGCAGTTCCCTTAAAGAAGCCCTTCGCCAGATTTAGTCACTTCTGGGTTAACTTTACGTACATATTCCCTTTGAGGATTTGCCAGGTCTTTTTTTTTTTTTTTTTTTAAGATTTTATTTATTTATTTGAGAGAAAGCACGAGCACAAGTTGGGGGGAGAGGCAAAGGGAGAGGGAGAAGCAGACTCCCTGCTGAGCAGGAAGCCCAGTGTGGGGCTCTAACCCAGGACCCTGAGATCATGACCTTAGCTGAAGGTAGATGCTTAACCAACTGAGCCATCCAGGTGCCCCACAAACCGGGTTCCCAGGTCTTAATTCTTACTTAGCATCATAACCATTGCTTGTTGAAAAGTAGATCTTAATACCATGCTTTAAGTAGAAAAATTCACATGTAGGAATGCTAATGACATTTCGGAGTGAAAGTTAATGGACTTTTTGATAGCCATGTAGCTACCCCTTAGGATCTCCCCTGATAATGAGCTGATTGTAAGTCTGTTCTGCCTTTTTGAGTCGGAGGGAGTCCTTAGTTAGAGGGCACAAAGGAAATTCCCTCGGTCTGATTTGGCTCATGAGCCTAGCTCATGTGCACAGAGTGGAACAGAATATTTGTAATTGAAGCAAAAAAGATACCTGACTGGGTTCAGGGGTCAGAGAGCAGCGGTGGGACTGCCGGGACTGGAGAACAAGCAGCTAAAGGAAGCGAGTCCTGGGTGTGTCTTTGATGTGGAGTATTATTGCATGTCATCCACTTTCATGTGATCACACACATTAAACTGTTTGAATTAAAGTCATTGCCTGCATCTTTTGTCCTTGTTCCTGTTCTACCACTTCTCCTTCAGAGTATGCTCTGACGCTTCAGGTAGATACAGATGTCTGTGCTGTGGGGCTCTTGGCCCAGCAAAGCCCTGCTCCTGAGGTTGTTTATGCATTTACTAAATCTCAGTCATTTCCAGTTTGCTTGGGTTTAAAACTATTTTTGTTACATATTTTGTAATATGGAGACCCCTGAATTAATCTGCATGCTTTAAGATAATTATAAATTAGGGCGCCTGGGTGGCTCAGTTGGTTGGGAGACTGCCTTTGGCTCAGGTCATGATCCTGGAGTCCCGGGATCAAGTCCCGCATCGGGCTCCCTGCTCGGCGGGGAGTCTGCTTCTCCCTCTGACCCTCCTCCCTCTCATGCTCTCTGTCTCTCATTCTCTCTGTTTCAAATAAATAAATAAAATCTTTAAAAAAAAAAAAAAAGATAATTATAAATTATATTCTTTAGTAACTAGAAGGGTAGTAGCTCAAGAAAAGAGGGAAATCTTGATAATTTTGTATTAAAGGAGTTATAAAAGATACTCAGAAAACACTGTTTTACCTACAGCTTCTGTGTGAGGATGATATCATATTGAAGTCTGACGTGGAAATGGTTCGTTACTTACAGCAGACTGGAGATGGCAGAGCTGAAACTAGAGTAGCCAGTGGACAAGAGGAAGGACGGAATAGTTAGGAGAGTAGCTGCAGCAAAGCACACTGTCCTGTGGGCTAGGCAGGACCGAGTCTGACTTTCCAAAGCAAACTGGATTATGGTGCCAGGTTTCTCAGAGTTGGGAGTGCTGAGAAGGCAGGATACCAAGGGATCAGTACAATTTAAAAGGCAAACTACCAGAATGGAAATTAGACAGAAAGCTGTTTTCAGGGACATCAAAGAGTTGCCTTGGGAAAGGAATGGGAACTCTGTTATCAGGTGTGAAGGCCCTTTGGCAGGGTTGTCTTAAAGCGGGTGCCTTGATGCCCTCAGGTGACCTGCAGAGACTAGACGCCAGAGGCCCGTGTCTGGAAACATCTCCCCTTTTACTCTCACTCATTTCTTGTAAAGGATACCCTTCTTCTCTTAGGAATCGTCCTTATTCTCCCCATCCCTTCTATCCCCATGAGGCCTCCTCAGAGGTCCTCTCTCCCCCCTTTCAGAGTTCATCCTTTATTTCTGCAAAGTTAATGGCACTCATCCTGTTCTGCCTTTTATTTGTGTGCATGTCTTTTGTGGAGCGTGTACTATATGCTAAGCATAATCTGGGTAATAGATGTTAAATGGATGAGTATTTTAGAGCTGTTAAAAATTAGTAGGAGTGACTGGGTGGCACAGTCAGTTGATAGCCAGCTGACTCTTGGGTTCGGTTCAGATCATGATCTCGGGGTCATGGGATCGAGCCCTGCGTCGGCCTCTGTGCTCAGCACGGAATCTGCTTGGGACTCTCTCTCCCTCTCCCTCTGCCCCTCAGCCCCACGCACGTGCTCGCTCGCTCTCTCTTTCTCAAATCTTTAAAAAATTTTTTTGATGTAACTGCAAGTCATTTTTTTCTTTCTAAACTTTTTCAGATTTTACCAAATGTTGCAAGGACTCTGGAATCCTTATGGTAGTAAAATGCCGGAAAGAAAATTCTGCATTGAAAGAATGTCTGACTGCTCAGTAAGTAGTCACCACACTGTGCTTCTCTCTCTGTGTGTGTATGTGTGTAATATATGTAGCAGGTAAGAGTATGTTACTAAACTCATTACACGTAATAGATTCTATACTTTGCCCCATCAAACCTTTGATATTGTTAGCTCAATCTGAGATTTCAGTTTGTTAAATATTAAGCAACATATTTATGAAAGGTCTTGTCAAGTTACATGGGTCAGCATTGTATCTGATTAAATATATGAGGTCAGCAAACAAAAATACAGGATTTTTCATATGACTTAGCAAATTCCTTTTCATGAACAGGTTGATCTGTAGAATATATTATAGATGGACTTACATTTGTCTCTCTTAATGAAAAGTTACTGAATTAGATGATTTGTCCACCTTGTGATTTGGGGATTAATATAATTTAACTTGTGGGAAAGTTGTAATAAATCAAATAAAGGATACAAAGGTAAATTTAGATTTTTGAAGTTAATCAATTTTAAAATAATTCTTAAATATGTTCACTGACATTTAGTTGAATATCAAAATAAAAATTTGCAAAGTTCTTTGAATGCAAGTGCTTTCTTTTTTTCAAAGACTTTAATTTGTAGAGAGAGAGAGCACGAGCAGGCGTAGGGGCAGAGGGAGAAGGAAAGAATCTCAAGCTGACTCCATGCTGAGCTCGGAGCCTGATGTGGGGCTCGGTCTCATGATCCTGAGATCATGACCTGAGCCACCCAAGAGCCACCCAAGGATGCAGAAGGGTATCCTTTACAATGCTTTCTGTTGTATCTCCTCACACATTTTATTGTCTGCGTTATTGATAGTATTGCAGAATACGTTAGTATTGTTAAGTGATAGTTGTGAGGTCTTAGTTTTGGTTATCCCTTATTTCCTTCTGTACTTCTCTAGCCTGTGAAACATATAGGTCAGCATGGTTTGATGCCTCCTTAGGGAATTATATAAAAAGAAGTGATTATCTGAATCAAATATTAGTTTTCGGTTTTGATAGCAAATAATGTACATATGTATTTAAATTTACTAACTTATTTTAGAATTCTGTAGTTAGGAGACTTGAGAAGTTAAATTAATCTCTGCATTTATGGATGAGGAAACACCCTTATTTATGGGCCAGGACCTGCCCTAAGCATTTCATCATAGAGTCAGCGTTCTTCTCTGACTTGTTTTTCTTCCAATTCTATTCCCTCATGCTCCCAAGAGATGTGTAATGAATAAATGAACCTGTTAAACTTCTTTGTGACTGAATTTAAATTTTTATATATTAAAGGCATTTAACACCTCAGTTTTAGCCATCATAATAACTTGTTCTTAGTTTGCCATATTATCCCTCCCATGGGCATCATTGGAGCAGAGGGTCAGGAGTGACAGCTGTGGAGAGGGCAGCCTGGGCTTACCTTCTGGATCAGCCAGAGCTTAGCTAGCGGTGCGGCCTCAGGCAAGTTCCTCACAGAAGACGGGAAAATTATTCCTCACGGAGTGGTTGTGAGGGACTGTACGTAAACTCATTACAACAGTGCGAGGCACATAGTAGGTAGTCCATAAATGGTAGCTCTTTAAAATTGTATTTGTTAGCTTTTGTTACCTGAATATTAATCATTAAGAATCCTTCCATCTTTTACCCCTGGAAATAGAGAACTTCTATTTTGCGGGAAGGGGCCGGGAAGGGTTGGAGGAGGCTGCTTCTGTTTAGGAGAGAGAGAGAAACAGTGAGGGAAACAGAGGGTTGTGACATTTGCTGAAAGTAATGGAGTTAAGGATTTTACTTGACCTTAAGCTTTACTACTGACATTGCATGAAGTTAACCACTGCCCTCTCATCTCTTCATAGTGACGTCTTGAAACATGAATGCTTGTTCTCTTTTATCTCTGTCTCATCTTCATTCCGTAGTAAAAGGCAGTCTCACTTCTGCCCCCCTTCCACTGAGACTGCTCCTCCTCAAGTTTCTAGTGGGTTCCAGATAGCCAAATGCAGTGAATTGCTTTTCATTCTTTTTTCTTGGCTTCCCTCCAGAAATTCCTTAAAGTTCCCTTCTATCTGGCTTCCCTTATACTCTTTCCTGTTCCCCCAATATCTTATTCTTCTCGGCATTTTCTTCCCTAACCGATTCCTTGAAGTGGGTTCCCGGTTCTCTCCTCACGCTTATGTCTGTGAAAGCTGTTTGCACCCATGCATTCAGTTACTTCCTATAGGTCATGACATTGCACTCTTCAGATCCAAAACTGAACTCTTCCTTTTCCTCCTCCTGCATCATGCGTCTAGAATTTAGAATCTTGTCTCCTCTCAATGGTAATTTCCTATTGATTTTATTACCTAAATCTCCCCCAGATGCATTTTGTCCTTTTAATCCCAACTTCTCCTGTTAGTTTAGGCCCTCATCATTCTTTCCTGGATAATTGTGGTAGTTTTCTTACTGGGCATCCTGTGTCTAACCCTGCTGCCCCCTTTTGGCCTGTCACATGCTGTCAGATTCATCTAAGACACAAAACTGATCTTCAGAGTTGCTCTGTTAATATTGTCCCATTGCCTTCAGGATAGATTTCGACTTCTTGGTGTGGCATACAGTGACCTTCATGATGTGGCCCTTGCCCAGTCTAGCTTCATCCCAGGCCCTTTTTCTTACGTGCATAATGTAATCTGCTGTAATGGTACTTATTTACTTGCAGTTCTTCATTTGTTTTTCATCTTTGTGCCTTTTCCAGTGTACATGCAATCTGGATTTCTCTTGTCCTTCAAAGTGCAACTCCTGCACTTCTGCTTGCCATCTCTCCTTTCCCCACTTCTTTCTGAGGTCTCCATGGTGCACTGGGCCATGCCTCCGGGACAGCACTTTGTATACTTCCTTGTTGTGCAGCCTTTACTTACCTGTCCAAGAACACCATGCACTCCTTGAGGATAGGTGCTGTGCTTCTCATTGCTCTATCCTGCCATGCAAAAACAAACCACTAGGTCTTCCCCTTCGCCCTCTTAACCAGTTTGATAGCCTAATGTTTACAATAAATTTATGACCATTTCTTAAAATCTACTTCTAAAGATTGCACCTGATGAAATGTCTGAATATTATTAAAGTAAGCTTATATTGAACACTTGCAGTTTCATTTTTTTTAAAGATTTTTTTTCCTTCTTGTAGTTATAATGATCCAGCCTTTTATGAAGAATGCAAAATGGAATACCTGAAGGAAAGGGAAGAATTCAGAAAAACTGGAATTCCTGCCAAGAAAAGGCTACAGAAACTTCCCACAAGCATGTAGGCAATTACTCAGATACTTAGCTCTGATACTCGTGGAAATCATTATCACCTAAAATAATGGACTCAAAGAAGTGTTTGCTTTATCCTAAATTATGGAAATAATAAAGATTTCCTTTTAAATTTCAAAGTCAAGTTTATCAAATGAGATGGGAGTAGTAAATAGTGAAATGGGATATGGTCCGCCTGTTCGTCATGCATTTTTTTGTAAATTTTTCAACTACAGTTCTGTAACAGATACTGAGTTTTAGGGTTCTATATAGACCTTATATTACTTTCGTCCAGTGGCTAATCATAGGGACCAGAAGTAACCAAAGGAAAGTAGGAATGGACAGCCGTCAAAAGTTAATAACAAGGCAGTATAGCAGAATAGTGATGAATCAGAATCCTTCCTGATTGTGTCACTTACTAGTTATGTAACCATGGAAATAGTTTTCAGTTATTGTGAGGATTATTGCAGGTAAGTAGAGTATGTAGGACACTGCCTCGGATGTGGTAAATGCTCTTTAATGGCTATTGTTAGTAGTAGTAAAGGATTATTTGGAAACAGATGAAGAAAGTACTTACACATGAATTAATTTTACTTACGTATTTGATGGAAAATTTCCTAAAATGAATTATTACATTCCTTGACCTGTTAATTTGGCTACTGAAAAATTTTTTTTTTTTTAAAGATTTTATTTGACAGAGAGAGAGACAGCAAGAGAGGGAACACAAGCAGGGGGAGTGGGAGAGTGAGAAGCAGGCTTCCCGCTGAGCAGGGAGCCCAATGCGGGGCTTGATCCGAGGACCCTGGGATCATGACCTGCGCCGAAGGCAGACACTTAACGACTGAACCACCCAGGCGCCCCGAAAATATTTTAATGATTTCAGGAGCTAATGTAAAAAATTGTCCAAGTACAATAATTTGGTTCGAGTTTGAGCTTTTTTTATATCCAAACTTGCTTTCCTTTTCCTCTGTGAGCTGTTAATTCTTCACTAGAGCCATGGCAACCAGTTTCCAAGTTAAAAAAAAAAAAAATGTATATATATATAGTTTTCATTAAAATCACAAATAGAAATTACTACATACTAGGACAAGATTTAACTTTGACCCCAATCCCATAAAATAGATGAGGTTTTTTTTTTTAAGGACTTAGTTTAAAGCAGATGGGATCCTAAGGAACCAATGTGATGTTCAAGTTCCATACTTTACTCAAGTGAACCGCTCAAAGAACTATTTTACTCTTACTTGAAACCCAAAGAAACCACATTTTCCCAGGCCACAGATCAAAAGGAAGATTACTAGAGCAGATAAAAGCAAAGCAAATATAGAAACCTAGAGACCACATACCATAGGAGTAAACAAGCCTATATTCTTCTGTTGGCCTTTTGGTATTGGTACATTTCCTAGAGCACAGGACCTTAATTTTTATTTTTAATGGTGCAAATGAAGAAAAGGCAGTTGCTTTAAAAAGCTGGTAAAATATATAATCTGTGGCTAATTTATAATTTGGATGAGAATCAGAGGAGCCACCTTCAATTTTATGTGGAAAATTCATTTATGTAGATGTCACTTTCCCCACAGGTGCTGGACAGTAGGTTATATAAATATGTTCATTCTTCTATAATGTCAGAAGCTAATCATTTATCACAGCTTTCAGGATATCCATGCCTAGCCACCACACTTGTCTACTTCTCTGACTAGTACAGCTGCCTCAGTTGTTGTCTTGCTTGCTCATTCATACCTCTGGCTGATACTAGTTCTGTTAAGAAACAGTGTACAGATTTTCTTCCCCTAAAGATTCACCTTGTTGAAGTAGCCTCTCCGGATCAGATGATAGATTTTGTATGATTTGGTCTCAGGTCTTTAAGTCTGAATTCTCCCCTACTTACTTGGTTTTATAATTGTCTCACATAGATATGTCCCCCTGCTCTGCTTAGGAATTAGGTTCCATTTTGGCAGAATCTCCGTTTCCTTTTAGAGAAGATGCAAATTTTATTTTCACTAATGGGAGATCAAGAGGAAGTAAGTGGCTTTTTGTCCTTACCTGTGTTCTCTTTGTTCTGTTATGTAAATGTGAACTGGGTTATAAAAGTCTAAAGATTAAAGAAATTTCCAGGGAAGGCCCTTTGGAGCAAATTTCAAGCAGTATGAAGTCAACATAAAATTTTTCAGCTCATGATCTCAGGGTCCTGGGATCCAGCCCCCCATTGTTGGGCTTGGCGCTCAGTGGGAAGTCTGCTTGAGATTTTCTTTCTCCCCCCACCCCCTCAATTAAATCTTTAAAAAATTTTTTTCCATCTCAAATAAATACCAACTACAGATGGGCCATTCTCTTTTCTCTTTGAATCTTACGTACAACGGAGATGATCATAAAGCACACATTTTTAAATTTGTGGCTGGGTAAAAGAGTTTTGGTTAATTTTTTTTTTTTTTAAGATTTTATTTATTTATTTGAGAGAGAATGAGAGAGAGCGAGTACATGAGAGGGGGGAGGGTCAGAGGGAGAAGCAGGCTCCCCGCCGAGCAGGGGGCCCGATGCGGGACTCGATCCAGGGACTCCAGGATCATGACCTGAGCCGAAGGCAGTCGCTTAACCAACTGAGCCACCCAGGCGCCCCGGTTAATCTTTACTAGAGTCCCACACATCATTTATTTAGCACTTTACCCTGTAAAGAACATACAACCACTGATTTCTAGCATACCTGTTTGATAGCCACCCTCTTGGTCAGATGGAACAACGTTTCTTCCACTTAAAAGAACTGGTTTAACAAGACAAATGCCTGTTAACATGTATCAAATGAACAACTAACAATTAGTACCTGACCTTGGAATATATAGGCAAGGACAGTATTTCACATTCTCTTCAATTTCAAACAAAAATAATTTATTTTAATTAAACAATTTCTTGGTATTGTTCAAAACATTAATCAAGCCATTATCTCATACTACTTCTTTACAAAGGAAAAGTTTCCAACCTTGGTTTAAAAAAAGGCAAACCAGTAAGCTACATTAGAGATTAGATAGAATATATAGCCTATGCAGCCACATGAGAAATAGTTTCTGCTGCTTTGTTATTACACAGGTAGTTGCTTCCTTTAGCTAAAGCCTGGAGTCTTGTATTTGTTTTATGCATATTGGGTTTTGTTCTATTACTTGGCAGGAGATTGTACTCCCTAGAGTCAGCTGTGTTCATTGGTCAGAATAAATTCCAGCATCTGACACCAATTCCATTAATCACAGACAAGCTTGAATAAGTGAGTAAGATAATAGAAAGACAAAAATATCTGGTGAACAGTGAACATTGTTTATGTATGTATGCTGTTCAGTTAATATAGAAGAGATCTGAGATATTCTTTTGAGTTCAAGGTATTTGAAACTGTCTATCAAAAAGGATAAAGGCCTCCTACATGAAACACTTTATCTCAGGCAAAAGATGTGTAAGCCAACTAATACATTATATTACTAATATGTTAATACTACCACCCTGCAAGAATTTAGATAGATTTCCATGTGAAGCCATCCTTGTTATATCCTTGTTTATAAATGATAGGCCACTTAGAATCAAAAAGTCGGGACATTTCATGATTGTACTATATCAATACAGCACAGAATTTGGTTTACAGAATTATAATTCCTAATTTGGTTAATGAAAAAATCACTAGCTCAATGAGTAAAATGTTACATTTCAAAAAAACTAACAATTTATAAGTTGCTCTACATTAACAAGCAGGTATAGACTCTTTGAAGAAAATTACCTGATCCAGTTACATACTTAGATTTTCATTATGGACCACTGAAGGCACAGATTTAGACTGAAACCTTTGTGGTGCTCTTTATACTTCTCATTGACTACTACAGAATTATAATAGTTTACACACCACATAGTTTTTCAACTATTTCATTACTTTTTTCAGTTAGGAGTTGAGGGATGTACAGGACAAAGTTGGCTTCAATGATTAGGTTATTTCAAGTATTAACACTGTGATTAAAAAAAATTTTTTAAGTCTTAAACTTTGAAACACAATAAGCATATGGAGATGGAATAACCTGTAAGAGATAACTACTATTCAACTATAACACTCTTCATCTTTATGCAATATAAAGTCAATAGAAACATAACCTATTCATTTTGCCATTTGCTCTTGTTTGCAACTCAAAGCAACTTACAATTTTTCTCAGATATTAATGGCCTCTTATTTTTATGAATGGATATTTAGGCATTTCACATGCTTTATAAAACCATGTCTAAGAAATTTTAATTCCATTCTTTATGTGAGAGGCTGTTATTTACAATTACTATCAAAGGTAGAACTGTCTCTTTGAAACACCTTAAGTTTATTAATAAGTAGCATATGTCTGATTCTTAGCTGGAACATGGAGCTGGAGGGTGCTCTTTCATACTGGAAAATCAGCTACATAATGTGGAACAGTATGTGCAAATGTATATACCGAAGAACTCTGCAAAAGTTTAATCAAAATCTGCTTTCAGTTTAAATAATTTTTGAGAGTGTCACTGAGGGAGATACAGTAACCTCATGACCAGATCATGAATCTCTTCAGAATTAATTCTTATAAAGACAGTTTTGATTATGTTGATCCAAGTAATGCAGTGGTGGCAGGTTGGGTAAAGGCAAAGTTTTATTTTTAGTTTCCCCAAATGCTGTCTCACTTGATTTAGGAGGGCTTGGGAATACCCAAGAATTATCTTCCAGAGAATTTCTGCCATAAGAGTTGTGTTCCTGAAAGTTAGTACCATCATGAAGAATGGATCGCTCATTATCTGTCCATGATTGGAGAATTGCTTTCTCTGATAAAACCTTTATATCTCCGGGTAAAGGGGAAGATGTGGTATGGCAAACAGTTTTGCCATTTGGTGAGAGGGGGGAATGTCTTTTGTATGTTGCAGTAAAATTCGCCAAGTGCAGTTTTGTGCTGTCTCTCCCAAGGTCTTCCATGCATCCTACTGGGGCACAGGCTAAAAAGAAAACACAGGCTAAGTGTCAGTTGTCAAGGCATTTGTGATCATAAAATATGTAACATTTCATTAATTTAGTTACATCTAGAACTGGAAATAAAACTAACATTTCTAAATTAGTGTGATCACTGGGGCACTGTGACTTGACAGATGAAAAATGATCTGAGTTCTAATCCTGGATCACTATTTACTGACATTGAGACTTTACTTTAAAATCACTTAATTACTTCCAGGTGTCACTTCTCTTGTCTGCAAAATTGACATAGTAATCTCGCCCTGCCTATTTCACAGAATTATTAATGAAGATGAATTCCATAGTTTAAGAAGTTGGAAACCAATAAAGTTAAAATACAGGAAGGATCCCCTTCTTGGCTCTTAAGGTGGCTAGAAAAGGTTTGTAGACTGTTTACCTGTCAGTGGAAACTAAGCTGTTCTAAAGTAATGTTAAATACAATATCCTTTGCTTATTCAAATCTTTTTTCCATAGGTGCTTTAAAAGTAAATTTTTTCAGAAATAATTATATTGTGAATTGATGAGGCCTAAATGAAGTTTTAATATATATCCGAAGGCTTTTATGGATAAAAGTTTGAATAAAATTTATAGAATAATCCTGTTTCTTAAATACACACACATTTCTGCTATGGTTACGGTAATAGGTCAAGGAAAAGAATGTGTTTAGTACACACGTAATGGCTTAGAAAACAAACTGCTTTAAAGCTGTTATTTAGTGATAGCCAGCATAATGGTAGTATGAGCTTATGAACTTCGACTTCTCTTCCCCTTCCAATTAACCAACTCGGACAGAATGCTAGGAATTAGAACAAAGACTTCAATCTATAATTTTGTAAGACACTGAACCACATTATAAAATAAGCTCATTCCCTTTTTTTCTTGGGAAGAGGGATAGGAATAGAGGAGACATAGAAGTAATGGTGCTCAACTTCTGGACAAGAGTGATCTGTAGGTTAGGAAAAAAGGTGATTTAGTCTTCTCTATTCCTCAAAGCACTGAGTTCTGCAGTAAGGAGTGAGCCTGCCACTGTTGTAGTGTGCTAGAAAATTTATGGTCTGATACACCAAAAGACTCATCCTTCAGCTCAGAAGGGACACAAGAATGAGTCATTTTCAAATACGGAAAGAGCATTTCTCCTATATTATTCTTTGGAAATTGTATTTATTATATAAACAAAGAGCCTCACTGAAAACCCCCTACAAAATTATTCTGCGTTCCTTTTAAAAGAACATACATTTGCCTCATATGTAACCCTGCCCTTGAAAAACTCAAGGGCAAAATGAACCATAAATTAAGTTGGAGCCTGCCAGGGCACCATATTAGTTTGCCTGATTCATAAATAACTCTCATGAAACTGAAAGGAGTTTTGACTTCAGTTTTCCTTTTTCCCTCCTAGTAAATACTCCTGAGGAGATTTATAAAATACTCTTGTGCCCTCTTTAGGCGTAATACGAGGGGCATATAATTTTAAATTAGGTGATGGTGATTATTTTTTATAAAAAGTCACATCTCATTCCTTTAAACTTAGGGCATTCAAATTTACAACTTTTCAGAAATATACCTATTATGTAATAAGAAGTGCAAATGCACTGATTTTTCTGAGGTATAAAAATAGCTTTGACGAAGTAGCCACTACTACGTTAGCCCAAAACTCAAAAAGTTTAGTGAGCCAAGCAGTTACATAGGAAAAGCAAATCAATGAAAATTTTCATTTCATTGAAAGGGATAAGGGGATAATACCTAGTCTCCATTCTAAACAGTCTATCCTTTATGGAAATAAAAGTTTACCAAATGAAAAGAACCCAATGAATTCATCAAAGTAATTTTTTTCAAAAACAATTTAAAGAGCTAGGTCTTTGATATGTTCTGTAGCACTGGAATGAAAAATAGCTTTTGGTGTCTTGGTCTCTCTTTAATATAAGAAGGAGTTGTGGTAAAAGGTCAACTAGAGCCAACTTAACACCTCAGCCTTATACACATAAGCAACACTTGGCTGAGAAAAAAAGCCACAAGGGGAAAAGAATACAGTACTGAAGAAAAAACACATCAGCAACACCTTTATGTGTGAAGTTGACCAGTATGAGAATGAAGCCAAAGCAGAGAATAGGTCGGCTGTGAACATACTATATATACTTTGGCTTATCAAAATCATCTGATGAAATTTCGATAAGAAACAATAGCCAGTTGCTCTTCAAGCTGTTTGGCTGGCATCAGTGGTTTCCAGCAAACATTAACTTGCCTTTCTTGATTGTAGTTGGGGTTTTCAGTTTTCTTAGTAGTTCAGCTTGTACTTGAGTCACCAAATGTAAATTAGACATTTCTCTCTTCAGTTCCCAGTATGCATTTTGCATATTATCACTGAAATACAGTTTTTTTTAAAAAAGTTAATGGTTATAATTTTCTTTATAGACAGAAAGGAGTGACTTTAAAGTAGAAATGAGCATATCTGCATTTCTGCTCCAATTAGTTTTGAGATGATATAAATTAAAACTTCCTCATTAAATAACAAATACAATTAGGGCATTAAAACAAGTAAAAAGATCTTATTCATAATAATACTGACCTAATTTCTAGCCATTAATTGAACTATATTAAACAGAAGGGTATTACAAAAATTATTACAGTGAAGTTTCTTATTAATTATAGCCTACCATGTGCTGTGCTGTGACTACAAAAGTAAGGGGTATGGCCTTCATTTACAAATCTGATCAAAAATAAAGTGACATTTATTCATGTATAGAGTTTTAATTTGTATTTATCTCTTGATTATTTGGTTTTGACGTTGTGAATTGAAATGTATCAACTGAATATATACCCAAATCCACATTAAAATTTAGGTTTCATGTATTTCATTCTTTTATGTTTGACTGGGCTGTCTCATATTGTTGGTTCTAAACCAATGTGACATGACAGCACAAGACAAGAAGAGCCAGATGATTTCCTGGTAAGGGAAAAGAAGCGAGAGAGGATTATATGAAACAAATTATAAACTTCATAAATGCCAGTCATTTTCATAATTTGACAAGTTTAAGTTATTTTAAACCTAATTTGCAAAAGTTTCATTCTCCCATTAAACATGGATATTCATGATTTTTTTTTTGGTTTTTAATTGCCAACTAAATAAACTGAAATCTTCTATATTCTTACTTTGCTATACAAAAATATGTAAAATGTTAAGTATAAAAACAACTGATCTCATAGCATTCAAATGACCGTTACTGCCTCTTAAAGATATTGGCGTAAATTTAATAAGTAAATCAAGTTAGAAAAGATGTCAGTTTTTATCTAGCTATACACAAAAACCTTTGAACAAACCAAGGGGTAATACTCTTGATACCTAAATCTAATATCCTATTCAAATTACAATGCAACAGACCTACTCAAAAACCATCATTCTGGAATGTAAGCTTATATACGTTTTTTTGGTCAAGATATTTCTATTCCACTCAGACTACAATTCTTTCACTAGAAGCAGAATATACTGCTTTCGGGAAAAATCCACATGTTTTAGTCTATTGTAAATGTCATTTGTCAAACAGTAGTCTATTAAAAATCACAGAGCTTTTTGCAGGTTTTTGATAAGTGTGAAATAATTACTTCACAAAAATTAGTTAACCACCTCCACTTCACCAGTAAACATCTGAGATGTATGCTACAATGAATGTTTCACATAGGAACCTGTCTTAAGTGTGAAGAGTTGTTGGTTCCTTGTTGCAATTGTGGGTATTCAGTATGCTTTCCAAAGAGTTACATTATATAGCAGTAAGGGTAAGTGCTGTATATGTGCTAATTCATGCAGACAGTCATGATATGAATAATACAGTTTAAAAATAGTGTTTAATTATTGGCATGAGATGGTAAATCAGTACCTGACTTTGAGAAAAGAAAAGCAAATACCCAAGACTGTGTTTGGATCCTAGAGTATCAAACACATTTAATCATTCAAAATAGCTAAGCATGTAAAATAAAAACAATTATAATAGAAGTGTTAAAGCAGTGTCTAATACACATTTTCCAATTCAATTTAGTGAACACTGCTTATATACTAGGTTAAACTAAAAACTAGGTCACCAAGTTTAACATACATCTAAGTCTTTTTCTTTTGCCCTTAATGTCACCTGATTAAAAACTACAGCTTAAAAAAAAAAAAAAAAAAAAAAAATTACCAAGTATAAGCTCTCCCCCTTGTGGATAACAAAGTAATAACAGTCACTTTAAAGTGCTACAGTCCTCAAAGTATGTTAAAAAAAATTAATTCTATTTGAACAAAGTACTTAAACATTACTTAAGTGAGATTGGAAAAGGCAAACTGTCATCCACAAATCTTCAGCAGAGTTCCAGTTAACCTTCACTTACCCAGATATTTTTGAAATTGTACAGGCTGGCTGTGCCCCCGCCCTCCCCAACCAACCAGGAGTATGAATTTAGTTAAGTTTTGCTTTAAATGACACAGGTGCATATATATGTATAGGTGTGTGTGTGTGTGTGTGTGTGTATATATATATATATATATACAAGAAATTATAAAACGAGCACTGAGATGCAACACTAAAAAGCATCCCAAATGAGAACCCTACAAAATAAAATAGACGAAACAAAAAAATGATGGGTGAAATGCCTAACATAATAAATGCTCAACCATGTTCTCACACCAACTTGGCAAGCTGGGTAACCACATTTTCCGCGCGAGGAAACAGGTTCAGGAGAACTTACTCCATACTCTTTAACATGTTGCTGATCAAAGCCATCTTTTAATTATCCCCAGTCTAAGGACTGCCTGCTGCCTTTTTGGGGTAACATTTTTCATATCACTATTACCATCATCTTCATCACACATTTACCAAGCACCTCCAATATGCTGGCTGCCAACAAAACCTTCTTAACCTCAAATTTCAACCCTCTAAATTTTAAATGTAACGTACCTCCTCCTTGAGATGTGAATAAGCAGATTTCATGTCCTGCTTACGAAGTCAAATTGTGTAAAAGCCCAGTTTTCTTAATTGACACTATATATTCAAGACTCTTCAATAGTGAAATGAGTATTCCTTGTCTAAGAAAAATCTAATTTTTTACTTCACCCATTTGTGTTTTTCTTTAGCTTCTGAAAATTTACTGAACTATGACATTCCCCAGAGAAACAAAAATCAAAGTATGAGATATCTTACCCAAGAGCTAAAGATTTAGAAATGTATATTTTGACAACTGTGATTCCCCACAACCAAGAGTCTTTTAGACATTTTTGATTGTGAGGCCCAGCAAGGAATCATTTTACACTGCAACCCAAAGAAAACAAGTTATGAGAAACCATACTTACCCCCTTATTATGTTTAATACAATCTGGTATGTTCTATTCTGTTTTATTCAATATTTGTATAAAATACTTACCTCAACACACAAAGTTTCATGACCACTAAGGGTCCCACAGCACATTTTGAAAAACACTAACCTCATCCATATTTCCTAAAGATTTACATTTTAAGAAGTTCACAGTGTAAGTTTACTCCGTACCTAGATACGTTTAAGAACAACAACCTAAAGCTAACACCAAATCGAACACTGGCAGGAAACAGGCCAAATTTCTGATTGGGCTGTTGTTAAATGATGTTGTACACAGTAAGTACCATATAAAAGGCCTCCGGTAACTAAAGGTTCACTCTATATGAGGTACCTCATTTGCCTGGCAATATAATGGAGGAAATATGAAAAAAAAGTTTTCCCAAAAAGGGTGCTTTACAAATAAATGAAAAATAATCTGGGACGCCTGGGTGGCTCAGTCGGTTAAGCGTCTGCCTTTGGCTCAGGTCATCCTGGGATCGAGCCCCGCATCAGGCTCCCTGCTCAGCAGGAGACTCTGCTTCTCCCCCTCCGCTCATGCTCTCTCTCTCTCTTGCTCACTCTCAAATAAATAAAATCTTAAAAAAAAAAAATAATCCTTAAAAATATATAAACTTGTACTTAAAGGTTTTGTGGAAACACTCCTATGTACCTTTTTGCTAATGTAGTAAACTTACATCTGAGTTGTTCCACTTAAAAGTGATGACGTAACTTAAAAATACAGGACTATAAACTGGGAATAGGTATAAATGGTAAGGTGAAGGAAAAACAAGATAAAGTGCAGCTAGGAATGAGGCTAACATAAAAATGCGTGATAAAAAGTTTACCAAGGAATAAACTACAAATTTGGTTATTAGTTTTCTAGTTACTAACCAGAAAAGGGAAACCTAATTAGTTTTGCAATTCATATTGTTTACATAAAATAAATGCGAACCAACCTGTATAAAACCATAAATATACTTTGAGCACTAGCGAGCCATTAGGACATGCTTTAATTATATAGTTCTTTTAGCAGACAAATAACTCTCAGAGTGGAGAACTTAAGGCAAATCTTTCTAAAAATTGTTTCTCTCAGCTAATACTCTGAGTTAATACTAAGCTTTAGAGAATTCAAAACTGCACTTTGAAGCCAAAATTACAGACTTGGGCAGCCTCAAAAACTAGACTCATCTCCTTGTACCTTTATCCTCTTAAATCCTGGTGTAGAGATCCCTCACTATCTTGTTAGTTATATGATGTCTTTAAAGACATCTGGGGGGAGAGGCAGCTTTTTGAGTTATTCTCAGTAGATGTAAACCAAATTATGTAAATTTTCCCATGAATGGAAGCAGAAGTCTCATTCTGTATCATGTATCCCTAATACACAATATACATAGCCCTTTCATTTGACGTACTCTTATTCTAACATATTTCTCTGTTCCCTGCTTCTATCCAAAAATGGTTTGAAAAGGCTTATAAAACTGATAAATACAACAAAATGAGGGGAAAAAACCTGGGTTGACAGGAGAAAAGATAATTTTGATAAAGAAGAAAACTTTCAGAAATATGGGGTGTCTGGGTGGCTAGGTTGGTTATGCATCCAACTCGGTTTCGGCTCAGGTCATGATCTCATGGTGGTGAGACAGAGGCCCTGTGTCGGGATCCATGCTCAGTGGGAAGTCTGCTTCCCCTCTCCCTCTGCCCCTCCCCTGCTCACACACACGCCTTTCTCTCTAAGATAAATATATCTTAAACAACTTTCAGAAATAATTTACATGGACACTGACCTAGACACACTGTTTAAAAAGGAAAAAGTTCCTTGCTGGTAAAGTTAGATGCAACTTGAAGGCATAACAAATGGCAGAGTTTAATAGTTGCAAGAGAGATGTGTTATGACCCACAAGGCCTAAATATGCTAGTCCCTTATAGAAAAAGTTTGCTACCCCCTGGATCTAGAAGATTGGCTGCAATCTTCAAATTGTTTGCCCTAGTTGCTCATTTCTCTCAATTAGGTTTTTTGATAGGAATAGGAAGGAGCCATTTCACATTATTTACTTTAGACTAGTAAACTTTAGAAGCCAAATGATCCAACAATGAAGTCAACTCACTATTTTTCATTGGATGAAAGAATCCATATACAGAAGGGATGTAAAATAAGATAATTTGAAACAGTACATGTTACTTAAATAAAAATGACATCTATTTAAGAGAAAAAGGGTTAAAGTAATATACATGAACTCTTATAGCTACTTTTGTTTTTACCCTAGGAGGACAGTTCTCTTAAAATTCATGTTATACCAAAGACTAAGGTGGTCCAAGTTTGCCCTTAGGACAAGGTGGTACTACTGTATATGGAAATGTATAATTCTTCATGCAAAATCAGGATTACAGAATACTTTCTACACAGCTAGCTCCCTAAAGCCCTATCTAAAATATTGAGGCCTCACAATATATACCATTCTACTAAAGTTCAAGCCAACTGTTGAAGAGCAGTTAAATGTTTTTTATAAATCCACTGTGGTCAGAGATTACATGCAGTACCCAAATAGTATCCATTTGCTTTTAAGGTTAAATCATAACAGAAATCTAGGTAAGCTATACAAAGTGGCCTACGGAAGAATATGCTATTTCTGAATGTTGAAGAATGTTCATACCTTGAAATGCTCAGTCTTTGGAGATCACTGCTCTTCAGATTGTCTTCCTGAGATGGATCCTATTATTTGTTAAAAAAAAAAAAAATTTAAAGTTGTAATTGTTAAGAAGTATAGATCTGTTTCCCAACTAGTGCCTTATGATGTGGAAATTTCACATATACAGGGGCCCATGGTTACAAAATATTGGGAAACACTGTTCAACTTAAATAGGTTCCTACACTTTAGGACTTCTCAGAACCTTTGGTACATATAACAGCACACTGTGAGTCACTAAATGGGCTATTATTGGGTACCTGAGACCTCTACCCAACTCCATTTTAAAGATCCAGTGTTTTCTAAATTTTGTTGGCCCTAGTGTCTTTTTTTCCAAAGGATCAACTTTTCTGAATATAAATGACTGGATACTGGGGGAAAGTTTAAAAGGGCCATAAGTGGAACTGACTCTCATTATCTCATTGATCTCATTAATACCAAACAGTAATCTACTGAGTAACCCCCCCCCCCAGAAAAAAAAACCCACCTCATTATTATATCCATGTAGGGATGCTATTTCACACTTTAAAAGATGTTATAAAATGCTTCACAGAAAATACCACCTCAAAAATATTTGTAAATATGGCTATAGTAGATATAAGATTAATAAAGTGAACATAATTTTTTCTCCCTGACTTGCTCTCTGATTCCCACATCCAAGGGGACTCTGATCAGCAATATCTTTGAACAAAATTTAAAACAACATCAAGATTTCAACTTGGAACCTCTGATAAGTTTATTTTAAGCATTCCACTCTTCCTTTTCCTGGTTCATTTCTTTATCTTAGTTGTGAGCATTTTTAAATTTTAAATCCCTCCCTCACCCTGTCAAAGAAGTTCCTATGAAGGTTGAGAACGAAGTCTTAAATTTTATTATTTATTTATTTAAAGATTTTATTTAGGGCGCCTGAGTGGCTCAGTTGGTTAAGCGACTGCCTTCAGCTCAGGTCATGATCCTGGAGTCCTGGGATCGAGTCCCCGCATCGGGCTCCCTGCTTGGCGGGGAGTCTGCTTCTCCCTCTGACCCTCCTCCCTCTCATGCTCTCTGTCTCTCATTCTCTCTGTCTCAAATAAATAAATAAAATCTTAAGAAAAAAAAATAAAGATTTTATTTGACAGAGACAGCGAGAGCAGGAACATAAGCAGGGGGAGCAGGAGAGGGAGAAGTAGGCTTCCCACTGAGCAGGGGCTCGATCCCAGGACCCTGGGATCACGACCCGAACCAAAGGCAGACGCTTAGCAACTGAGCCACCCAGGCACCCCTTAAATTTTTTTAAAACAATTCCTCTTTTATTAAACTCTTGTTTCTTAGTCTTTCAGATGCCATTTCAGCAGTAAATGAAAAATTTCTAAAGTTTCTTCTACCTTCAAATGTCTCTATGATTTATGATAGATGAATTAAACTAAAAGCAAATCCCCTAGCACCATCTAGTGGGAAAGAGTAACTAATAAGAACTGAACTGTAACACACACACCCTCTTAACAGTACTGCTTTTCTGGATTACCTTAAGTTTTTTTGACACACACTGACTTACTGAATACACTATATACTAGGCATTGTGCTAAATGTGTTACATGTTATCTAACCTTCATGGAAAAAACAGATATTTAAAAGTCTACTTTAAAGAAAACAAGTTCAGAAGAAGTAAATGATATTCCTAATGTTACATAGTTAATAAGCAACACCATAATTATAAGCCAAATTTTTTACAATTCCATGGTACTGCTACCTACTCTATAAGGAAATATCCATTATGTAAAAAGCTATCATTTTCCTTTCAAGGAAAATCTATTTACTGACAATTATAATTCAGAGCTTCCAGGTACAGATCTTTCTTGCAATCACATCTTTAAAAAAAAAAAAAAGCCTCTAGGGGCACCTGGGTGGCTCAGTCAGTTAAGCATCTGCCTTTAGCTCAGGACATGATCAGGGCCTAGGACTGAGTACCACGTTGGGCTCTCTGTTCAGTAGGTAGTCTGCTTCTCCCTCTGCCCTTCCCCCTGTCTCGTGTTCTCTCTCAATTACATAAAATCTTTAGAGGTCTTTTTTTGTTTAAAGAAGATGGCAGAGGAGAAGGATCCTATACTCACCCCGTTCCACAGATACAACCAGATAACATCCACATCAGTGTCAATAACCCAGAGAACTGGCAGAACAGAACAGATCCTGACTCGATCCCAGGATCCCACAGCAAAAAGTAAAGAGGAGACCATACTGAAGAGGCAGGAATAGCAGGCAGGAGCTAAGCACACCCACCCAAAGGACTGTCCGCAGAAGAAGGGACACCACTGGCACAGAAAAGGAAGAAAAACAGACCCTCACACTATGCACACCCCAGGTATGGGGAACACATACAGGGAAAACGAATCCCTGTAACATTTGGCTTTGAAAACCCAGAGGGGCCTAATTACCCCACAAGAAGAGAAAGAAAGGAGGCAGAAAAGCTGAAGAAGAGCTGAAAACTTCCCAAATCTGGGGGAAGAAACAGAAATCCAGATACAGTAGGCACAGAAAGCCCCCCATCCCAAGAGGTCCACAGCAAGACACATAGTAACTAAAACGGCAAAAAGTGGTGACAAAGATAAATTTTAAAAGTAGTAAGAGAAAACATATACAAGAAATACCCAGGATTATAAGAGAATATTATGAAAAATAATATGCCAACAAACTAGGAAACATAGAAGAAATGGAGAAATTCCTACAAATATATAATCTCCCAAAACAGAATCAGGAAAAAATAGAAAATTTGAACAGACCAACTACCAGCAATGAAATTGAATAATTAATCAAAAAATTACCAACAAACAGAAGTCCAGGACCAGATGGCTTCACAGGCAAATTATACCAAACATTTAAAGAAGAATTAATACCTATTCCTCTCAAACTATTCCAAAAATTCGAAGAGAAAGGAAAGCTTCCAAATTCATTATATGAGGCCAGCATTACCCTGATACCAAAACCAGATAAAGATACTACAAAAAAAGGGAACTATAGGCCAATATCGCTGATGAACATAGCTGCAAAAATCCTCAACAAAATACCAGCAAACCAAATCCAACAATACATTAAAAAAATATATCATTCACCATGATCAAGCAGAATTTATTCCTGGGAAGCCAGGGTGGTTCCATATTCCCAAATCAATCAACGTGATACATCACATGAACAGGAGAAAGGATAAAAACCATATGATCATTCCAACAGATGCAGAAAAAGCATTTGACAAAATTCAATATCTGTTCATGATAAAAACCCTCAAAAAAGTAAGTATGGAAGATACATGCCACAACATTATAAAGGCCTTTTATGAAAAACTCATAGCTAACATAATACTCAAGAGGGAAAAATGGAGAGCTTTCCCCCTAAGGTCAGGAACAAGACAAGGATGTCCACTCTCACCACTTTTATTCAACACGGTACTGGAAATGGCAGCCACAGCAGTCAGACAAGAAAAAGAAAAGACATTCAAATTGGTAAGGAAGAAGCAAAACTTATCACTACTTGCAGATGACAGAATACTATATGCAGAAAACCTGAAAACACCACCAAAAATCTACTAAAACCGATAAATGAATTCAGTAAGGTTGCAGGACACAAAATCAATATATAGAAATCTGTTGCATTTCTATACACTAATAATGAAGTAGCAGGAAGAAATTAGGGAAACAATCCCATTTACAACTACATCAAAAATAATAAAATACCTAGGAATAAACTTAACCATGTAAGTGAAATACCTGTACTCTGAAAACTATGAAACACTGATGAAAAAAACTGAAGATGACACAAACAAATGGAAAGATACTCCATGCTCACGGATTGGTAGAACAAACTGTTAAAATGTTCATTCTACCCAAAGCCATTTACAGATTTAATGCAATCCCTATCAAAATACCAAGAGTACTTTTCACAGAACTAGACACATTATACTAAAATTTGTATGGAACCACAAAAGACCCTGAACACCCAAAGCAATCTTGAGAAAGAACAACAAAGCTGGAGATAGCACAATCCCAGATTTCAAGATATACTACAAAGCTGTAGTGATCAAAACAGTACGGTACTGCCACAAAAACAGACAGAATAGAGAACTGAGAAATAAACCCATGCCTATACGGTCAATTAATCTATGAAAAAAGAGGCAAGAATATGCAATGGGGAAAAGACAATCTCTTCAACAAATGGTTTTGGGAAAATTGGACAGCTATATGCAAAAGAATGAAACTGCACCACTTTCTTACACCATACACAAAAATAAACTCAAAATGGATTAAAGGCCTAAATGTGAGACCTGAAACCATAAAACTAGAAGACAACATAGGCAGTAATCTCTTTGTCATTGGCCTTAGCAACATTGTTTTAGATATGTCTCCTTGGGAAAGGGAAACAAAAGCAAAAATAAACTTCTGGGGCTACACCAAAATAAAAAGCTTCTGCACAGCAAAGGAAATAATCAAAACTAAAAGACAACCTACTAAATGGGAGAAGATACTGACAAATGACATATCTGATAAAGGGTTAGAATTCAAACATATAAAGAACTTACACAAGTCAGCACCTAAAAAACAATCTAATTAAAAATGGGCAGAGGACTGACTTTCGGGTATTAAAGAGGGCATGTACTGAATGGAGCACTGGGTGTTATACGCAAACAATGAATCATGGAACAATACATAGAAAACTAACGATGTGATGTATGGTGATTAACATAACATAATTAAAAAAAAAACGGGCAGAGGACCTAAATAGGCATCTGTTCAAAGAAGATATACAGACAGCCAACAGACACGTGAAAAGATGCTCAACATTAACTCATCATCGGGAAAATGCAAATCAAATCTACAATGAGATATCACCTGACACCTATCAGAATGGCTAAAATCAAAAAACGTAAGAGACAAGTATTGACAAGGATGAGGAAAAAAAGGAACCCACATGCATGTCGGTGAGAATGCAAACTGGTGTAATCCACTTTATAGTCTGGAAGTTCCTCAAAAAGTTAAAAACAGAATTACCATGAGTGTGTATACACACACACACACACACACACACAAAGGGGACTATTACTCAGCCATAAAAAGAATCAAATCCTGCAATTTGCAACAACATGGATGAATCTAGAGAGTATAATGCAAATAAGCAAAGTAAGCCAGTCAGAGAAAGACCAATACCGTGATTTCACTCACATGCAGAATTTAAAAAACAAATGAACAAAGAAAAAGAAAAACCAAAAAACAGACTCTTAACTATAAAGAATGACTAGATGGTTACCAAAGGGGAGGTGGGGGGGATGGTAAAATATGTGAAGGAGATTAAGAGTACACTTATCATGATGAGCAGTTAATATAGAATTGCTCCCATCCAAGTACTAACCAGGCCTGACCTGCTGAATCACTATAGTGTACACCTGAAACTAATATAACACTTGTACATGTTAGACTGGAATTAAAATATTTTTAAAAATTAAAATTAAGAAAAACGTACATAAATAAACAAGCAAAGGGACGCCTGGGTGACTCAGTTGGTTGAGCGACTGCCTTCGGCTCAGGTCATGATCCTGGAGTCCCTGGATCGAGTCCCGCATCGGGCTCCCTGCTCGGCGAGGAGCCTGCTTCTCCCTCTAACCCTCCCCCCTCTCATGTACTCTCTCATTCTCGCTCTCTCAAATAAATAAATAAATCTTAAAAAAAAATAAATAAACAAGCAAGTACACCAGCCAGCCAGCCAGCTAGCCAGCTTCTCAGGGGCTATGGCACCTAAGCTTATGGGATAGGATGCTGGAAGCCTTTGAAGGAACTGTATGTAACTGCAGAAATTAACTTCAGATGTTAAGTAGGAAAAAAAGTATTTTGCCCTAACAGGAACTGACAGTTATCTCTACAGTGTTTCCCCTTTACCGGGTCTGGGGGCTTGAAAACAAGTTCTCATTGTCCAGTTCAGAGGAATCAATTTGGCTAAGGCCAAGGTGGAATGCTATATTATTCTTAATGCGTGGCTGTCATGCAGGATGTCAGGACAGTTGGGATTCAGGCACGAATGTCCTGGCTGGCAATCAGGGAATACGGAAAGTAGTGTCTTTTTAGGTATTGGCATCCCAAAAGAAACCTGGGGTAGGTGACACAGCTCCTCAATGGGGTTAGAATGCTGTGATGGGCAAAACGGTTGAGAAGTAATTATCTAACTGGTTACCTTATTTAAAATACATGAATGTATATAATGGCTCTTTGACTCTAGACTACTAAACTTTTCTTACAACAACTATTTTAAACTTTGCATTTGGTACATTGCTCTCACAACTCCTCTTTTTCTCTACCATTTCTTCTTTTTCTCTTCAGCACTGTCATGACATCTAAAAACTTGTATTCAACTTTGTTAGAACCAATGTAAAGTATTAGTGAACAGACTTGGTGAGGACCTGAAAGGCAACTTGTGTTTTAGTGGATGACTTCAGGCTAACCATACTTCAGCAGCTCAGCACGGTTGTTTTTACTTTTTCCCCCCAATTCTTAAAATCTCAGCTATTTGCTGAAAATTGAAGTTGCCCAAAAGTATTGAGACCTTTGAAAATTAGTAGACTCTGTCAAGTTTTTTCTTTTCAAGAGTTCTAAAAACTAAGTTGTCTCTTGTGGTGTCTATATTAATCAAATTATTCAATTAAAATGATAAACTTAAAAACTTTACAGAAAAAAATGACTTAAGGAAACTGAAGGAAAAGGAATTTAAAAGGAATAGCTTTAATAAATTAATAAATGAACTAGTAAGCTTTTTTAAAATGAGCTTTTTAAAACAAAACTATATAATTCTGAGATTATGCTAGAAGTATACAGTATATCAAATTTTAGACAAAATGATTAAAAGGGAAGATAAAGGTAAATTTTTCAGAGAATGTAACTCTCTAGGTAGTTATAATATATGTTAACTCTATGATTTAATCTTTAGTTATAAATCCTAGCAATAGCATACACAGAATACTGAATTTCTCAATTTAATAATTCTGTAGTACCGTTTGTTTGGCTTTTTGTAGCTGTATTTTGAGGTCACTACATTCTTTCCTCATCAGTTCCAGCTCTTGTTCCAAACCATGGATCTTCAGGTCACAGCTCAACTTTTCCACCTCCCAGTTTGATGAAGGTGGATTTAAATTCCTCATCACTAAAAAAAGGATGGACATTAACTATTATTTCTGCCTTCTACATCTGTTGTAATTCCATAAAGGTTATACTAGTAAAATGTTGATAATACAAAACCTAATACAAAAGATGCACAACTAACAGTTTTTTAAAAACAGTAATTACTTTCAAAGATCTATGCTAATGAGAATAAGAAACCTACCAATCTTGTTTCAGAATGTATTAATCACCACTACCTCTGATCTTCTGTTTAGGTTAAAGTACAAGTTTGTCATTCTGGAACTTTCAAATATATAACACTAATCAAACACATGCTAAAACTTTTGACAAGTCAATAATATATGTCAAGGTTAAGACAGTGATAATTAAATGAAGTGAGGAAACTGAAGCTCATGTCTCTACTCCATCTAGTCCCCTTCAGAGTATGAAGTATGATCATCAGGCCTAGAACATGATGTCAAAACAATTTATTCATAAACATCTACTGTAGAAACTCCATACAACTGGATACTGAATTACCTTTGACTTAGTTCTTTAGTCTATCTAGAAAAAGCCCCAACCAGCTACTGTAAGAGAGCTCATCTCAAACTCCTATCAAAAGGTCTCTCTCTGAGACCTACTCTTCAGCTTGTCTCATCAGAATGTTCATGGGAACAGGCCAATAGCCATATGCTCCAGAACTAATTATTCACTCCAGCATCTCATCTGCACATTTTAACAATCTTCAGAAATTAAAAAAAAAGTAATTCTAACTACTCCATGACAGTATGTCTAAATAGCGGGCAAAAGTTCAGTAGAAAGGAAAAGCTAGGACATACCAGCAGGCAAGACGTTTTGACAAGGATGGAGTTCTACTCCTTTCTTCATCTACTTCATCACAAACTAGCCCTGAATAAAAACCATCAAATTTTCTCTAGGAAAAGTGCAACTTATATCTAAGGAAAAGTTAAAGCAGTTGATATTTTGGTGAAAGCAGATCAGAGAAATTAATGTAAGCCTAAAATTAAGTTAAGGCCTTAGCATACAGATACAGAAAACTGATAATGGATATAACACATAAATGGAAAATTATATTGATTCCATTATAATATTTGTAACAAGTAAGTGGCATACCCTGCTGAGTTTCCACCTCTGTCCTTAGCTGGAGGAGTTCTACTTCTTTAGATTGTAGCTGTTCATTCAATACTTTCAAAGATTCAGAGTTGTCTTTATTCTAGTTAAGTAGGGAAAATGCCAAATTACATTCAATAAAATCTATAGGTTGGTATATATTAATTTTCAGGTAGATGAAAAAAAACAGATTTAGGCCTTTAAAAAGCAAGGTGGGGAAATGAACCCAGTTTTTCAATAATCTCTTTTTTTCTTTTTCAAACTTAGGATATATTATTCACTGGCTTTTTTTCTTTTAAAAACACACTGACAAATTCTACCATGTCATGATTTTTCAAAATAAGTTAGTGGTGTTAGATATACTTAATTCCTAAACATCATTACATACTATATATTTATTTTGTACAGAAGTAAGTTATAAATATCACCATTAAAAATTCCTATTTTTGCCTTAAGGATGTATATTTTTAATTTTTTATTTAATAAATATAAGTATTTCTCTTATTTCTAATTTTAAACTTCCTGAAGAAGAAAACTCATTTGCAATACATAGAGATTGTTTTCAAACCAACTTACCATTTTATCCAATTTGCTTTTCAAATTATCTCTATCAATGCAAACCTCTCGATATGCATGGTAGGCTTTATTTACTTGTTCACGTCCCACAGAACTTGTTTCTTCATCTAATCGAGCTCCTATAAGCTAATGGTATAAAATTAGAAGGGAAAGCTTAAAGAAACTATTCTACAAAACAAACAAAACCAAAAAGAAGCCAGTCTTCTGATGGCTCCACACCTTACTTTTCTTTGTAATGCAGGGATAAAGCCTGGAGTATAATTAGGTAAACATTTCACTTCCAACAAGTAAGCCTTCCTGATTAAGAAAGCAAAAAAGTACAGGTAAATATTTTTAAAGTCTTCTATTTTATGCTTTTAATCAGTATTTTTTGTTATAACATATATTAATTCATCATACTAAAACAGTACATCATTCTTTTATAATACTTAGGTGTTTTCCAAGCCAGTAGTATTTCATTTCCACCATTAGAAAAAATGACAAGTTAAGGTATACTTGACTTTTTAAAGAATAAATGTGGTAGTTCATTAAATACTATATTATTCCAGAATAGAAATTATAGGCTTGTTGGCACAAAGTACAGAAATATTGCCAATGTTAGCTACACCAAATCACATTTTTCTACTTAATTTTAAAATGAGCTTAACTACAAGCTCCAAAATGTTACCTTTTCTCACTCTATCCAATTGTATCACAAATTTATTTGATTACCATTAAAGACAATGTATATGAATATAAAGAAATTATGATTTTTACAACTGACTTCCTTCCTCTTATTTCTCCTAGATGAATCAAACTCTAACCAAGCCCCATCCTTAAGTTTTTAATAACAAGATAATTATTTCCTTGGCAGCTAAGAATCCATTTCCTTCCCTTTTGAGGAAGCTGCTGTTTATAAAATACAAATACAATGATCTAATCTGAAGAAACATAAAACTAAGTTAAAACTTCTTAAAACTCAAAATATAAAAGGGTGAGTGATAAAGATTTCCCAGTACATAAAGCCAAGTAGATATGATGATTTATAATGGAATCAACTATCAAGCTTATATATTCTGTAACATTTAAGAGTGTCAGGTTTCTGCATGAAAAAGGTAAACAGAGAAAGGTAATTTATCAGTTAAAACATTATTCTGTGTGTTCAAGAACAAAAGAGAATATTGAGGTAAAGAAAATGTCAATCCTGGTGAACATGTTTTTAAACATTAGAACAATGTTACAGGAGATTCCTCCTTTGACATTTAATTTCCTTTGGTGGCATATCATTTTTTGCACAGATTTTATTTTTTTATTTTTTTAAAGATTTTATTTATTTATTTGACAGAGACACAGTGAGAGAGGGAACACAAGCAGGGGGAATGGGAGAGGGAGAAGCAGGCTTCCTGCGGAGCAGAGACCCCGATGCAGGACTTGATCCCAGGACCCTGGGATCATGACCTGAGCCGAAGGCAGACACCCAACGACTGAGCCACCCAGGCGCTCTTTTGCACAGATTTTAAAATCCTGAATAAAATACATACAGTTTATGAAGGTAAGGCAATCTAAAAAAAGAAAAATACATTCCAAGAAAAATATATTGCAAATCCTATTCTACAAATATTCACCACGTACGTGATATGTGAAGCACAGTATGAGAAGTACTGGGTTTTGAGACTAGCTGTGAGTTATCCTTGGAAACTTAGTACAACCAGGGAAGACAGTTTAGAAAAACTTTTTAAATTTCAAGTATTTTGAATTATTGAGTCATAAAATATAATAAAGATAATAATTACCTTTTCTTCCAAAAATCTTATTCTTTTCTTTAAGAAAGAGTTCTCTTTCTCTGAATCCTTAAGTCGTTTTTTGATGTCTTCATATGCAGTGACAAGGGCAAAATGTGAAGCAACAGATTCATCTCCTGAATATATTGAGATTGGAGTCACTGTGTCTCTCCTATGTGCTTTTTCATGATTCAGAATGCAGATATCATCTTCTACCAGTGCATCCATGACAGCTTTTTAAAATAATATAAAAGAAAATGTCTCATTGAATAAATGAGCAGGAAAAGAGAGATGTATTTAGAATAATGAGAATACCGGGTCAATGTTAAAAACTCCTATTTCTTTTACAGGCAGCCTAACATAGTGGTGAAAAGCATGGGCTCTAGAACCAGATTCTAGGAGATGCATCCAAGCCCTACTTAGTGTCAGTAAGACTTTGCGCTTAATCTCTCTGCCTCGGTTTCCTTATTTATAAAGTATAATAAATAGTAGCAACTGCTTCACAAAATTCTTAAGAATATTAAATAAGTTGATACCTATAAAGCATTTGAAACCCATCTAAGCTATTATTAGTAAGTGTTAGAAAAAGTAGTAAAACACTGTTTTTATAGGATAAAAATCTTTAAATTTATACCCACATATTTCTTCATTATCAGCATTTCCACTCTCAGATGTAAGCAGCAAGTTTTATAACTTCCCAAATTATAAATTTTCAAAAACTCTCCTGAGTACAATTCACTACAAGACTATTAAAGAAGTTTTAATGCATCCTCCACTATATTCTTTCTGTATTGGTAATTGATTGATTGTAATAGAAGACACAAAGGAATTAACATTTCAGTACTCACCATGTCCCAGTACCATGCACTACATTCTTTTAATATTATATCATTTAAATTCATCCGAACAATTCTATGAGGTAGGTATCACCTACATTTTATAGGATCAAAAAGGTAAAGTAATTTGCCCATGTTAAAGCTAGTAGATGTTAGCTCTGTGAGGGTACAGGTCTGTTTTGTTCATCATTGTGTCCCCAACTCATCATTGTAAGATGCCCAATAAATATTGGTTATTAAATGAAGAGTCAATAGTGTAGGATTCAAATCAAACTCTAACTCAAAAACCTAAGAGAAGAAGCCAGTTACTTCAGTAGTTAGTGAACTTACTTGCTTTGTACATCTACTTTTGCTGTTAGGCACAGCATTACTTCCCCATCTGAGAGTTATGTTCCTGAAAAACACTGGAAGGAGAAAATGTAGCTGAAATCTTTTAAGACCTCATGGGAAAAACACAGTAAGAGGGACTGCAGGTCATAAGAGAACCTAAAAAATCCTTTTAAATACTTTCTAGTTTGAAATAAAACATCAAATACAGCATTCTAAAAAAGAGTATCAATGGAATTTCATGTATCTTATATTAGTAATTCAGGATTAATGAAAAACATTTTTATTTACTATTTCTTGCTTGGAATGACATTTGATTGCTTACTGTGTCACTCACTGTTCCAAGAATATTATAGGTGAGGAAACTGAGGTAGAAGGAATTTAAGTAATTTTCCCAAGTAAAATAGTAAATAATGAGATGTAACATAGGTAATTATGCCACAGGATCCATGTTTTACTATGCTTGCTTTTCTCCAAAACTTCTGACCTCCCTCCTTGTATCTATCAACGCCTCTGAAGTCCATTTTGCTTTATTTCAGACATGAATACTAAGGAAAAATGTATGTTTTTTCTGGTTCCAGTCTTCTATCATTGTATTCTTGCTTTACTGATTTTTGTAACAAAAAGCTTCCAACTTGAGAACGTTCTCAAATAATGTCAGTTTGGTGTATCTAGCAATTTGTTTATATCTAGGATGACAAGAAAGGCAGGCAAAAATGAATGTGTGTACTACAATATAAGTAGGTGAAACCTACCATTCAATCTTCAGCAACACCAACTTAAAAATTTCTAACCACAGGAAGGGGGAAAAGATGGCGGAGGAGTAGGGGACCCTATTTCACCTGGTCCCCAGAATTGAGCTAAATATCCACCAGACCACTCTGAGCACCCATGAAACCAGCCTGAGATGTAAGAAGATCTGGATCTCTACAAACAGAACATCGTAGGCGGTGGGTTTCAAGGTACGAAGCGGGGAGCCGTGATTCCATGGGCAGATATCGGAGGATAAACGGCGGCGGGAGGGTGCCTGGCCATGGGGATCCGACACCACCGGTGAGTGACAACCTCGGGCGCTGCAGACGGGCACAGACTCGGGCACAGACTCGCAGACCGGCAGTGATGGGGAAAGGACTCTAGGGCAGGCCCCGGGGTGGACCCGGAGCAGCGGGGTTGCGCGCGCCGGAACTGGGAGCGGCTGGCGGTTTTAGAAGCACAAAGGGCAGAGACGTGCCCCGACCTGGAGGCAGGACTGGGAGCGCACAACCCAGGAGGCTGCAGCTTATAGCAGCACGGACAGAAACGGAGACAGTGTGGCCTGGAGAGCTCACTGAAGAACAGACTGCGATCTCTCTGCTCTGAGGCAGAGGGTTGGAAACAGTCTCTTCTGCTCTGACTCACGGAAGAGACGCGGAAAGCCACCAGGGAAAGCCACCAGAGAACAAAAGCCCCCAAAACTGATTCCCGCTGAGCCCATCCCCCGCCACAGGGGCGCAGGGCAACTCCGCCCAAACAGGGTTGCCTGAGTAACTGCACAGCAGGCCCCTCCCGCAGAAGACAGGCTGGGAAGACAAGAGGCCAGCAACACTAAGGTCCCAAGAAAACAGGTGCATCTTGCTTGGGTTCTGGTCAATAATTTGGAATCTATGCATTCCCTCAAACACCCATCAACAGAATGATTAGGAGGAGGAGCCCCCCAAAAGAGAAAAGACTCAGAGATTATGACTTATGCTGCAGATTTACAAATGGATGCAGATATAACCAAGATGTGGGAGATGGAATTCAGGCTAGCAATTGTGAAGAGAATGGCTAGAATGGAGAAATCAATTAATGGCAACATAGAGTCTCTAAGGGCAGAAATAAAAGGTGAATAGGCAGAACTTAAAAATGCTATCAATGAGATCCAACCAATCTAGATAATCTAACAGCTAGGGTAACTGAGGCAGAAGAGCGAATAAGCGACCTGGAAGATAATATAATAGATAAAAAGGGAAAAGAGGAGGCCAGGGAAAAACAACTCAGAATACAAGAAAAAAGAATCAGAGAAATAAGTGACACCATGAAGCATTCCAATGTCAGAATAATTGGAATCCTGGAGGGAGTGGAGAGAGAGAGAGGACTAGCAGATATATCTGCGCAAATCGTAGCTGAGAACTTCCCTAATCTGGGGAATAAAACAAACATTCGTGTCCTAGAGGCAGAGAGGACCCCTCCCAAGATCAAGGAAAACAGGCCAACACCCGGGCATGTAACAGTAAAACCTGCAAATCTTAAAACCAAGGAAACCATCTTAAGGGCAGTTAGGGGGAAGAGATTCCTTACGTACAGAGGGAGGAACATCAGAATAACATCAGACCTATCCACAGAGACCTGGCAAGCCAGAAAGGCCTGGCAAGACATATTCACGGTACTAAATGAGAAGAACATGCAGCCAAAAATACTTTATCCAGCAAGGCTTTCATTTAGAATGGATGGAGAGACGCAGAGCTTCCACGACCAGCAGAAGCTGAAAGAATGTGTGACCACTAAGCTGACCCTGCAAGAAATATTAAGGGGGGTTCTATAAAAGGAGAAAGACCCCAAGAGTGATCTACAACAGAAATTTACAGGGACAATCTATAAAAACAACATCTTCACAGGCAACATGATGACAATTAATTCGTATCTTTCAATAATCACTCTCAACATGAATGGCCTAAATGCTCCCATAAAACGGCACAGGGTTGCAGAATGGATAAAAAGACAGGACCCATCCATATGCTGTCTACAAGAGACTCATTTTGAACCTAAAGATACATCCAGACTGAAAGTGAAGGGATGGAGATCCATCTTCCATGCCAGCGGACCTCAAAAGAAAGCTGGGGTAGAAATTCTTATATCAGACAAATTAGATTTTAAATTAAAGTCTGTAATAAGAGATACAGGACACTATATCATTCTTAAAGGATCTACCCAACAAGAAGATCTAAAAATTGTAAATATCTATGCCCCCAACATGGGAGCAGCCATCTACATCTAACATAAGCCAACTGTTAACCAAAATAAAGAGTCACATTGATAACAATACGTTAATTATAGGAGACCTCAATACTCCTCTCTCAGCAATGGACAGATCATGTAAGCAGAAAATCAACAAGGAAACAAGAGCTTTGAATGATACATTGGACCAGATGGACTGCATAGATATTTACAGAACATTCCACCCTAAAACAACAGAATACTCATTCTTCTCGAGCGCACATGGAACTTTCTCCAGAATAGACCATATACTGGGTCACAAATCAGGTCTCAACCGATACCAAAAGACTGAGATTATTCCCTGCATATTCTCAGACCACAATGCTCTAAAACTGGAACTCAATCACAAGAAAAAATTTGGCAGAAATTCAAACACTTGGAAGTTAAAGACCACTCTGCTCAAGAATGTTTGGGTCAACCAGGAAATCAAAGAACTTAAACAATTCATGGAAATCAATGAGAATGAAAACACATCAGTCCAAAACCTATTGATACTGAAAAGGTGGTCCTAAGGGGGAAATACATAGCCATCCAAGCCTCACTCAAAAAAATAGAAAAATCCCGAATTCACCAACTAACTCTACACCTTAAAGAACTAGAGAAAAAGCAACAAACGATGCCTAAGCCACGTACTAGAAGAGAAATAATTAAAATTAGAGCAGAAATCAATGAATTAGAAACCAGAAACACAGTAGATCAGATCAACAAAACTAGAAGTTGGTTCTCTGAAAGAATTAATAAGATCGATAAACCACTGGCCAGCCTTATCCAAAAGGAAAGAGAAAGGACCCAAATTAATAAAATTATGAATGAAAGGGGAGAGATCACGACTAACACCAAGGAAATAATTAGAAATTATTATCAACAACTATATGCCAATAAACTGAGCAATCTGGATGAAATGGAGGCCTTCCTGGAAACCTATAAGCTGCCAAGACTGAAACAGGAAGAAAATGACAACCTGAATAGGCCAATAACCAGTAATGAGATTGAAGCAGTGATCCAAAACCTCCCGAAAAACAAGAGTCCAGGGCCTGATGGATTCCCTGGGGAATTCTACCAGATATTCAAAGAACAAATAATACCTATTCTTTTTTTTTTTTTTTAAAGATTTTATTTATTTATTCATGAGAGACAGAGAGAGAGGCAGAGGGAGAAGCAGGCTCCCAAGGAGCAGAGAGCCCGATGCAGGACTTGATCCCAGGACTCTGGGATCGTGACCTGAGCCGAAGGCAGACGCTTAACCATCTGAGCCACCCAGGCGCCCGAAATAATACCTATTCTACTGAAGCTGTTTCAAAAAATAGAAACAGAAGGAAAACTTCCAAACTCATTCTATGAGGCCAGCATTACCTTAATCCCAAACCAGGCAAAGACCCCATCAAAAAGGAGAATTTCAGAGTGATATCCCTGATGAATATGGATTCCAAAATCCTCAACAAAATCCTAGCTAATAGGATCCAATAATACATTAAAAGGATCATCCACCACGACCAAGTGGGATTTATCCCCAGGATGCAAGGGTGGTTCAACATTCGCAAATCAATCAATGTGATAGAACACATTAATAAGAGGAGGGAGAAGAACCATATGGTCTTCTCAATTGATGCAGAAAAAGCATTTGACAAAATACAACATCCTTTCCTGATTAAAACTCTCCAGAGTATAGGAATAGAGGGAACATTCCTCAAGTTCATAAAATCCATCTATGAAAAAAACCCACAGCGAATATCATCCTCAATGGGGAAAAGCTGAGAGCCTTTCCCTTAAGATCAGGAACACGTCAAGGATGCCCACTCTCGCCACTATTGTTCAACATAGTACTAGAAGTCCTAGCAAGAGCAATCAGACAACAAAAAGAAATAAAAGGTATTCAAATTGGCAAAGAAGAAGTCAAACTCTCTCTTTTTGCAGACGACATGATACTTTATGTGGACAACCCAAAAGACTCCACCCCCAAATTACTAGAAATCATCCAGCAATTCAGTAATGTGGCAGGATACAAAATCAATGCACAGAAATCAGTTGCTTTCTTATACACTAACAACGCAACTGTAGAAAG